ATAGGGAGGTAATAAATGTTAAATGAGGTCATAAGCATGATAGTATTGGTGTCCTTACAAAGAGAGGAAGATACCCCACAGCTTGTTCACTCTCCACACGTCACAAGGAAAGGCCATGTGAGAAGGTCGCCCTGTCTGCAAGCCAGAAAGAGAACCCTCACTAGGAACCAAATGAGCCGGCACCTTGATCTGGGACTCCTAACGGTCTAGAACTGTGAGAAACTAAATTTCTACTGTTAGCACCATCTGGTCTGTGGTATACTGTTACAGCAGCCCAAACCATCTAATATAGGTGGTTAAGCAGGGAAGCATGTCATCAGAGGATACATTTCTGCCATGCTCAACAAGGGAATTTCAAAGGATGAGCCACGACAAGAGATGGAGAGAGTCCTAAAAACACTCCTGTGCTCCAGTTGTTTATATACAGGACAAAGAGCTGAACACTATCAGAAGTATTCTTCTTTCTTTTGTATCTACTATATGTATGAATGAGTTTTATAAGCAGAAAGTTTTTTAAATAATAATATATGCATGGTGTTCTTTATTAAGTGTTCTATATAACTCCACTTCTTTTTCTCATCCTACTTTATAATCATCTAAAAAAAAAAAATTCTACCAACTAAAAGGCTTGGTTTGGAAACCAATTATCAAAACTTTATGATTTAAGTTAGGCTGCTACAGCTTTGGAAAATGAACATAGGGACTCTTTCAAGTCTTGAGAAATAAACTCATGTTTGAAATTACTTCTTGAGAAATGCATCTTTTTGTTTTGTTTTGTTTGCTTTTGTCTTTCAATTCTGTAAAGGGATTCTGTCTGTTGCTTTCCGTCCAGACTTTTTTTGATAAATATGGACAGAGGTGAACAAAAAAGAGACTCCAGGCTCCACATCCTTGACTGGAACTTCCTGGTCAGTTCCTTTGTTGTACGGTCCAACTAAAGTGGAAAGAAAACTTTTTGAAATCATTTTAATGATCATTAGGATAGAATTAAGATGGGGAAATGATCAATTGTAAAGATATGTCTTTGTGACCAAAACAGTCAAGATGGTTCACTGCATACTGATTTCCCAGAGCAGGTACTAGTTTAGGAAAAAGCACTGTAGGGAGAGCATCCAAATGTTAATGGTCACAGGCTGTTCTAGTTAAGTGCATTCACTGGGGTAAAATGGACTAGAAAGAGAAAAAACAAGGCCAAACAAGGATACCAGCTTTTAGCCACCAGAATAATGCTAGAGAATATTTTTAGCAGCTCCCAGAGGGAAGATGATGGCCTCCTCCAAGAGCTCAATAAAGATCTGGCATAATTTCAGAATTCAAGAAATAGCCCATCTTACAATATACTAATGGAAGATTGATAATTAGAAATCAACACTCAAATCCAAATTTACATACATACATACATGCATATATTCTGGCACTAAGTCTGCAATATCTAATGTTATGAATTTCCCTTCCTTTAACTGACTTCAGGTATGCCTTAAAATTACCGTTTCTTTCTTTTTTTGAGAGAGAGAGTCTCATTATGTTGCCCAGGCTGGATTCCAACTATTGGGCTCAAGCCATTCTCCCTTCTCAGCTGCCAAGTAGCTGGGATTACAGGCACGTGCCACCGTGCCTGGCTTACAATTACCATTTCAGTAGGCAGTTTTATAGTTTCCAAGCAATGTAATTGTGAACATTTAATCCTTTTTTCCCTCCAGTATATTATACTGAGATAAAAATGTAGAAAATGTCTTGGGTTTTTATTGGTTTTCCTCATTAATAAGATGAGTCTTTCAATATATCCTTGACTTGTAGAAGCTGGTGGGGTTTGTTTTTTGTTTTTTTTCAGATAGTAAATAGCAGCTGTAAAACTATAATTTCAATAGAAATAGGCAACTGGAGTAGATACAAAGCCAGACTCACAGGAGTCTGAGAGAAGAGCAAAATTTAAAAATTGCCAATTCTTATGATGCTAATTCATCAAACATAACCACAAATACAACAATATTCAAAAGGAATAAAGTTTGTGGGGAAAGCAACAAGTAAAATGATCCTAAGTATTTTTTTTTCTTTTTTTCTGCATTTAGGAAGTAACATGGTACATAACAGATAAACAACAGACTTCAGAATAAGACATATCTAGGTTTGAGTTCTAGTTCAAATGTAATTGTGTATTTGATCTCTGTATGTTCTCAGCTTCCAGTTCTTACTAATAATAGTAACGATAACTGCCTGAGATAGATTGTCTACATTAATTTATATTTGGGATTCTTGCTAAATCAATATTATGGTTATGAGATCGTGTTGCATATTATGAAACCAGAAAACAAATCTATCTAGACCCTGTGCGTAGTGGCATGACCATTTGTTGTGTTAGTCACTGTGGAAGAGAGAACAACTGCTGCTTTCTCCAGCTCCCTATGCTCCACAACACTTGTCCTCTTTCTGCAATTCGTCCCTGCAAAGCAATTTCCTCTTCCCATTCCTTGGAATGCTTTTCTTCTCACTGTTAGCTGGCTCCTTCTTTTCTTCTGGTCTCAGTTCAAATGTAACTTTACTCAGCACTTTTCTAGCTTCCACTGCACTATTCCTCCCAATAGACTACCCTGTTGATCTGCAGTTCCCACTATAGGACAGTATCAGGCTTATGAATTATTTGTTTTCTATCTCCAGCGACTAGAATGTAAGCCCCATGAAGGAGCTTGCTCATCTATTTCACAGCTGTATTCTCTGAGCCTACAACAGTGCTTTATACAAAGTAGACTCTCATACTCAATAAGAAATTGTGAGATGGATGGATGAGGAAAGGTAAGGTTTAAGTGGATGATAAAGATCCTCCTCTGCTCATAATTTGAACACTTTCCATCATTTTCATGGCTAACAGCTGCTCTTAGCCTTCATCACCTCTCATCTAAGTTGCTGCAGTAAGCATCTTAAAGGATCTGCCTGTTTCTACTACTGCCCCCTATGGTCTATTTTATCACAACAACCAGGCTAGTCCTCTTTAAAACATGTAAGTCTACTCTTCATTGAGAAATCCTATGAGGGCTCTCCATGTCACTCAAAAGCCAAAGTCCTTAAAATAACCTACAAGACCCTACTTGATGTGGCCCACACCCTACTAACTTCCTCTCCCTCACCCACCGAGTGGTATCTACTCTTGCCTTTCTGTTCTTTGAACATGCCAGGCACCTTAGGACATTTGCTCTAAGCTGTTTCCTTTTCCTAGAGTGCCTTTTGCCCATATACAGTTGGCCCACCATATCCATGGGTTCCGCATCTGTGGATTCAACCAACAGCTTGAAAATATTTGGCAAAAAATAAATGGCTGAATCTGTATTGAACACATACAGACTTTCTTATTGGTCCTTATCCCCAAAACAATACAGTATATTTACATAGCATTTATCCTGCATCAGGTATTATAACAAACCTAGGATATTTAAAGTATACGGGAGGATGTGCATAGGTTATATGCGAACACTACACCATTTTATATAAAAGGCTTGGGCATTCACAAATTTTCATATCCGTGGGAGGTCCCAGAACCAATTTCTAACACAGCGGGATGACTGTTTCTGAACAGTTCACTTTCGGATGTCTCAAAATAATCTGACCTTCCTGTTGAAGACTACCCTAACTTTAATACTGTAACCAACCATCCACACCCATGTCAGTTCTCCCCTTTGGTCTTTTTCCATAGAACTTATCTTTTAACCAACAGTGCAATTTATTTTTAAACTGTCTTTCCTAACACCCCTTTCTACAACATAGACTCCATGAGAGGAGGAATCTGCCTTTGTTCACCAATGATTCCTAGGCACCTAAAACCGTAAACGGTAGTACACAGTAGGCACTCTGTATCTTTCTTTTTTTTTTTTTTTTTTTGAAACGCGGTCTCGGTGTATCACCCAGGTTGGAGTGCAGGGGCGCAATCTGGCTCACTGCAAGCTCCGCCTCCCTGGTTCACGCCATTCTCCTGCCTCAGCCTCCTAAGTAGCTGGGACTACAGGTGCCCGCCACTGCGCCCGGCTAATTTTTAGTAGAGACGGGGTTTCACCGTGTTAGCCAGGATGGTCTCGATCTCCTGACCTCGTGATCCACCCACCTCGGCCTCCCAAAGTTCTGGGATTACAGGCGTGAGCCACCAATCTCCATATATATAGAAGGAAAGTCCTGAAGTGGTTCACAAGATGCAACTCTCCACATGGATGCACACCAGAATCCAGGAAAGGGGAGTCCCAAACTTGAAGTCTATGAAATTTCCAACTTCATGCATAGTTCTCTCAAAGCAGGAAGGGTTCTGCAAACCCTGAAGCAAACTGCCTAGAGCAGCATTGTAATTCTTTTTATGATTCTTACATTCTCTGTATCTATTTGCATTTTGTGTTCTCGAAGTAGACCTTTTTGAACCATTCCTATTATGAGAAGCCAATAATGGCTACCATTTATTAAGCACCTAACTACTGTTTAGGGTAAATAAGAGTTGTGGGTCCATTAGATGGTATGATAGCTGGGGAGCCCAGTAACTATCCTGCTTTGGTTGGTTCCTGATGACAGAAACCTACCTGAACCCACTCTGAGTGTAGAAGAAAACAAATACTGAAATATTTTACAAAGTCATTCTACTAAACCCTAATTCTAAGCTGTGGGATATATCCAGTATTTAAACATACTCTCACATAGCTGAGAGAAAAAAAAAAAAAGAAAGAAAGAAATGTAGACCCCAGGAGCCAAAGATAACCTGCTTCCACTACCCCCAGGTTCTAGCATATTCCAAGATATACTGGAGTGGGTAGGGGGAAAAAACAATATGCATTCAAATGTCAAGTTGAGACAGAAATTGAGACTCTAATTTTGAGCTGTTAAAAGTAAAATTTCACTAAAATAACATCACAATAATGTTGCTTTATACAAGTTTTGTGGCAGAAGAATCATTTCTTTGATCCTTACCTAAGATTTACAAGGCTGACCAAAAGTTGAAATTATTGGCATAAAAGTGATAAAATCAGACAAAGCATGGTAAAGACTGCTTTATTGGCGGCAGTTACTACAAGTCAATAAATATTGATCCCCAGAGAAGAGCTCGGTTATCAGATTACTGGTCCATAGAGAGCGGAATGAAACTGAACCAAGTGATTGCTGGGATGATCGAAGTCACTCCTGCTTCTTGGGAAATGCAGCCACAGCCAGCTGATACAAGGCATATGCTGTTCCTAAAAATAAAAAAAAAAGAACCTAACCCAAAATTCTGAGATCTAAGTGTATAAATTTAATATTCCAGTTTAAAAGTTGTAAGTTTGCATTAAGACTACCTTAATTAGAACACAAAAAAGTATTTTGATAGGTGTTGGCAAAATTTTAAATAAATATATGTAAAATATATTTAATGTAGTTTTAACACAGTATGGCACAATAATATATTTGTCAACATAAAATACAAAAATTTTTAAAAATAAGAACATATACAAATGTTATTTCCATATTAACCCAAGATTGCCTGAGAAATGCTAAGGATGATTAAGGATGATTCAAATGCCAAAGAAAAAAATGACTTCAAAATATGCAAGTCTTCCCGAAAGTGAATGTAAAAAAGGAAGAGTGATATAATTTTAAAGTAATCAAATGTAATGTAAAAAATAGCTGATAACTGGAATTTCATTTTAAAAACTATTTACCAGAATGTCTAAGAAATGGTCACATTGGCCAAAAGGAATTTAGGACTTTTTTTTTTTTTTTTGAGACAGAGTCTCCCTCTGTTGCCCAGGCTGGAGTACAGTGGCACAATCTCAGCTCACTGCAACCTCCGCCTACCAGTTAAAGCAATCTTCCTGCCTCAGCTTCACGAGTAGCTGGAATTACAAGTGTGTGCCCCACACCCGGCTCATTTTTGTGTTTTTAGTAGAGACACGGCTTCACCATGTGGGCCTGGCTAGTCTTGAACTCCTGACCTCACGTGATCTGCCAGCCTCAGCCTCCCAAAGTGCTGGGATTACAGGCGTGAGCCACTACACCCGGCCTATAATACCTTTTATAATAAACTGGTAAATGTGTTCCCCTAGTGAGGAGATTGTGGGAACCCCAACTTAAAGCCTGTCAGTCAGAAGTTCCAGAGACCCAAACTTGTAACTGATGGGAAGGAGGAGACAGTCTTCTGCCATCAACCTGTGGAATCTGATGCTATCTCCCAGTAGAGAGTGTGGAAACTGAATTGGAGGACACCTAGCTGGTGTCCATTACATGGTGTGTAGGGAAAAACCCCCACACATTTGGCAACAGAGGTCTTCCATGTTGATTGTTGTGATGTGAGAGCAGAGTTTCCCAAACAGGTAATTAACATAGTTTACTCATCTTTAAAATGAAGACATATTATAGACTTCATGCAAGATTTACAGAAATCCAAGTATGTGGCATTCCTATGAATATGATGGGCACAAAATAATCACTCAAATATAGATTCCCTTCTCTTTACCTTCCAGTAAAAGTATTGTTCCATACAAATTTTGTTTGTCATAAATATGTCTGTACAGAGTTTAGATGTAAAGTGCGCTTTTATTTTGCATCACAGTCAAAATGTTTTAAAGCCCTTGCTATAAGAGGTGGGATATAATGGATGCTTTTGACTGAACTATAGCCTTCACTACCATCAATGGTACTCAGAAAGCCAACTCTATCACAAAATAATCATCAAATCTTATTGGTGTTATTTTTTTATTAAGGCCAGGTACAGTGGCTCATGCCTGTAATCCCAGCACTTTGGGAGGCCATAGCGGGCAGATCACCTGAGGTCGGGAGTTCCAGACCAACCTGACCAACATGGAAAAACTTCATCTCTACTAAAACTACAAAATTAGCCAGGCGGGGTGGCACATGCCTGTAATCCCAGCTACTCGGGAGGCTGAGGCAGGAGAATCGCTTGAACCTGGGAAGCAGAGGTCACAGTGAGCTGAGATCACACCATTGCAATCCAGCCTGGGTAACAAGAGCAAAACTCCGTTTCAAAAAAAAAACATCAAAATGCTCTTATACAGTATGTATCAGTCATCCTCTTGAATCATTATGAGACATAATAAGATATCAAATTCTGGACACAGACTGCCTGCATTAAAATACTGGCATAGCAAAAGCAAAAGTTATCAGTTATCATTACTATTACTTTTCTATAAACCTTCAAACATTCCAAAGGCCTTACCACCAACTCCAAGAACCATGGTGGCTCTATACAGGAGGACATCAGCTATCCCACCCTTTAGATACAGTGGAATTCCATCATCCTCCTAGATTAAAAAAAGAAAAAAAAAGACAATAATAGATGCCTCACTCATTTCCAACTAAGTTTCAAAAGAACAGGTATATAAAATGATGTAGCTCCTTAAATCCCTATAATTAAAGTATTTAAGTATTAAAATTTAAAAGACCTACAATTTTCTTTATTCTGTCGCTACTCCTACTACTTTTAAAATAAGAACTCCTAAAAGTCAGCATTTTTCTTTTACTGTTAATTTAAGATCCATTAATGATGGTCTTTCCAAAGAATACATAAACATTAAAGCTATAAAACATACACACTGATCTCAACAACTTTAATATAACTGAAATATAAAAGAATCAATAATTGCCACACATTAGATTTAGTCATAGGAACCTTTTTTCCCTAAAAAGTGGGGAAGGGATTTTGGTTTATAACCCTAAATTATATCCCTAGCATCTAATCCAGCATAAAGTAGCTATTTAGTACATCTGTCCAGTAAAGTATTTATTTGTATGTATATATGATACAACTATTTTTAATCACTTGAAGTTTTATTTGGGAAAAGCTAGAAACCATAATAAAACAAAAATCACTCATAATCAAACTACTTATAGAGGTAAATTGCTCTGCTCCACCAGGTCTTTCCCCAAGAGACAACCACTATTAGCAGTATGACACATGTTCTTGACTTATTTTGTAATGTTTATATTGTCATATGATCTAATTTATATACATACTTGTTTATCCTAACTCTACCTTTTGGTAATCTAATTATTACAAGTAACAATCTCCTATAAAATACTTCAGTACCTGGAACAGTTTTTGTTTCTCTGGAACTTTATTTTGTAAATGTCTGCGGGAAGTAGTGCTTATGGTTCTCTGTCCAATCTGACGGAGAGCCTAAAATGAAAATATTATTAAACAGACTTAGAGCCTAAAGAAACCTTCAAAACCATTTTCAGTCCTTCATATTATAAAAAAGGTAAATTGAGACTTGAAGCATATCTGATTTGTCAGTAGCAAAGTCATGGAAGAGCATCCAGGCTTTTCAATTTGTCATCCATCCTCTGGCCTTCGAATTACATTCTGCAGTCTCCCAACAACATACTCAAGAAGCAATTCATACAGATTCTAACCAAAATATAAAATCATGATCTTTACCTGAACAGAACCAGTAACATTTTATAATCCTTGATGCAAACATATTGACATACACATATTACAAAAATAGTGCTTAACCAAAATACACTAAGCTCAAATATTTTCATAATATACTACCATATTATCAAAAATCTGCTGGGCGTGGTGGCTCACGCCTGTAATCTCAGCACTTTGGGAGGCCGGGACGGGCGGATCACCTGAGATCAGGAGTTCAAGACCAGCCTGATCAACATTAGAAACCCTGTCTCTACTAAAAATACAAAATTAGTGGGGTGTGGTGGCACATGCCTGTAATTCCAGGTACTTGGGAGGCTGAGGCAGGAGACTCGCTTGAACCTGGGAGGCAGAGGTTGCGGTGAGCCGATATCAGGCCATTGCACTCCAGCTTGGGCAACAAGACTGAAACTCCGTTTCAAAAAACAAAAAAAAAAATCTATTACTAGGCGGGCGGATCACCTGAGAGTCCAAGAGCAGCCTGACCAACATGGAGAAACCCTGTCTCTACCAAAAACACAAAATTAGCCGGGCACGGTGGCAAATGCCTGTAATCCCAGCTACTCGGGAGGCTGAGGCAGGAGAATCGCTTGAACCCGGGAGGCAGAGGTTGCGGTGAGCCAAAATCGCCCCATTGCACTATAGCCTGGGCAAAAGGAGTGAAACTCCATCTTAAAAAAAAAAAGAAAAGAAAAGAAAAGAAAAGAAAAAATCTGTTACTTGGCCAGGCGCGGTGGCTCACGCCTGTAATCCCAGCACTTTGGGAGTCCGAGGTGGGTGGATCACCTGAGGTAAGGAGTTTGAGACTCGGCTGGCCAACATGGTGAAACCTCATCTCTACTAAAAATACAAAAATGAGCTGGGCGTGGCGGTGTGCGTCTGTAATTCTAGCTACTAAGGAGGCTGAGGCAGGAGAATGGCTTGAACCCGGGAGGCGCAAGTTGCAGTGAGCCCAAACTACGCCACTGCACTCCAGCCTGGGCCACAAGAACGAACTCCGCTCAAAAAAAAAAAAAAAAAAAAAGGGCCGGGCGCGGTGGCTCATGCCTGTAATCCCAGCGCTTTGGGAGGCTGAGGTGAGCGGATCACTTGAGGTCAAGGATTCGAGACCAGCCTGGCCAACATGGTGAAACCCCGTCTCTATTAATAATACAAAAATTAGTCGGGCTTGGTGGCGAGCGCCTGTAATCCCAGCTAGTTGGGAGGCTGAGGCAGGAGAATCGCTCGAACCTGGGAGATCCGAGATCGTGCCACCGCACTCCAGCCTGGGCAATAAGAGTATGTCTCAAAAAACAAAAAAAAACAAAACAAAACAAACAAAAAAACAAAAAAAAACCCCTATTACTTGACAGCAAATAGACTGGCATGATTCCTTCTCAATTAAAATGCTTCTCCCATTACATTTTTCCTAAAAAATTTTAAATAGGGTATACATCTTTTAAAGAGACTTGCATTAAATATCCAGTTGAATTAAATAATGAAACAAATGTGCTCTCGATTTTTTAAAATAAATTACATTGAGGATTTTAATGAAGCAAAACTTCATTAAATAATTTAAAAGATAAAATAATCATTGTCGCATTTTTTTCTTTTCTTTTTCAAAATTTGGGGAAATATTTCATATGCTCAAAGTCGGTGGAGGGGTGAAGGACAATGCACAATAGCCTGACGGAAGTAACGCTGCACTTCAGCCATGACTATTCCTAAAGTTCCACCCAAAATGAATGGCTTGGTTTTTAAACTGCCTTCTCAGAAAGCTCGCAAAGCTCAAAACCATTGAAACTTAAAGCCTTTCATTACCAGAAGAACACCTTTCTGCTTGATGCTTCCGGGTGTCAGACATTCCCCACCTGGTCCTTGGTTTTACTCAGATCCGAGCTACTAACCTCATCAATGACCGACAGGGTTAGGGGTGGTGCCTAAGAACCCAAGACGGGTCTAACCCACAAGTCTCTGGTCACTTCCCCAGCCTCTACACTCCTTACATCTACCCAGCAACGGCCTGGGGCGAGAGGAATAGACGGAAGGAAAAGTAAGGTCACGGGAAAAGGACATAAATCAAGGTGACTTCATTAGCCGCCTTCTGCACCCCTCCCAGGTGAGGGTTTTCTGTCATGGTGCCTCAGCCTCCTCTCCACTCCCTCGCCCCTATCATGAATGCAAGACGAGAAGCTCCTCACCAGCAGATTCCGCAGCATCTTGGCTGTTACTGACCAGCAACCGCCGCAACTTAACACCAGCAACGAAAATGGCCACGCCGGAACCGGAACTACCTCCGAGACTTGCGTAAGCATTCAGGAACGAAAATCTTGCGGGGCCGAAGAGAGGCCTGCGCTCCTAATCATAGAGAGCAAAAGAAAAACTAGAGCGGCAGTACGGCCCTATCCGCTCTAGCCGGCTCGCCGTCTCAGTCTGGTGAGCTCGTTCCTGACGTTTTCGGCTGGTAGCTGGAGCTAAGGCTGGGGAAAAGACAAACGATTTGTGAGATGAATGTAGTAAGCTTAGATGAAGTCAGTGTGGGACCAGGCTATCAAAGAAAGCTAGTGTCTGTTTTGAGCGAGAAGGCGTAAAACTGGGCAACCTTTAAGCCGCTAGAAAGTGAACAAAGACTGGGTTGGCCGAAATACAGCTGTGAGGCCTCATAAAATACAAAACAGGGATTAGTTTTTTCCACCGAAGGAATTGCTGCGGGACATTACTGTTCCTTGTGTTGAGAATATGCTGTAAGAGCTATGTCAAGGTAACAATTTTTATCTTCTTGTACCTTCGACTGCTGCAGAACTCCCTAAGCAAGAAGCTCTTCCACAGTGTCCCCATATTGTGGAAGCGGCTCGCTCGCTTGCTTCTGAGGAAACGTTGGGGGACAAGAAATGAGATGGCGCATCTAGACTCAAAAGTCTTGCTGTCCCAGATCCAGCAGGGCACTACATTCATTACTGGAGTTAAGCACAGCAATTATTTGTTGTACAGAAAGGCTGTCGGTGTCATCCATTTCGCTTAAGTAATCCCCATTGTGTTTATTTCTTGTGCTTACCCTCAAGTGTGTACAAACGCAAATATCTGCCCTGTATTACAATAATCTTTCCACCTTTCTACAAACTCTTACAAATTATTTGATTGCCATTTCAAATAAGAAACCCATAGGCTCAGCAAATGATAAAAATTAGTAATATTAAAACTATTTCTTGTAATCCTTGGGGTTTTCTTCTTCACAATGGGCCCACCAAGTTACCAGTCCCAGTTAAAATTCTCTTCCTCACCAAGGCTTATAAACACCCCAATTCATGTCTTCTTAGATTGCGACTGAAAGGACCTGATTTTCTACAACCCTCTGGATTATGCATGTAACCAAAACTCTGGACAAAATTACCACATGCCAATAGCTAGGGCGTGGGGGTTTAAGTACATTGTCCATAACCTTAATTTGTTAGTTGTATGTACTCTCTTATGTTTTCTCCAGTTAGCCAACTCTAGATTGTAAATTTCTCAAGCGCAGAGATTATGTGGATTTCTTACCAATCCGCAAGCACTGCTTAAAGGGAGTATTCACTAACCAACACATGAATTAATTACATTGGGTGACAGATCTAAGAAGCTTATGACTCTGTCCAAAAAGCCATGAATTCACATTAAATAGATGCTAGACACAGATTCTTATATATTCATGTTATTCAGTACAATTTCCCCCTTTACTGGATTATTCCATCTATTAACACGTTCCCAAATTAAAAACAAAAAAACTCCTTTGATTTCCATTACCATCCTATAAACTTCTTTACACTTGTCTCTCCTCCTCCTCCTAAGCTTTTTTTGGTCCCATTTTGGGCAGGCTTTTACTGCTTTTGTTTAGAATCACCAATAGCTTCCAGGTTGCTAAATACATTGTGAGACTCAATTTTCACCTTCTCCATCTATTAGCAGCATTTAACATAGCTAATCCGTCCCTCACCATATACTTTCACTTTTTAATTTGGAGGTAAAGCATACATGTAAGAAAGAATATGATAGTTTGAAGCATGGTCGTAAAGTGGCTTCCATAGTACTTCTTCAGCGGTTCTCCTGTTTTAGAGGCTACTCCTTTTAGTTTCTTCCTGGATCCTTGTCCTCTTAACCTCTAAAATTTCAGTTTCTCACCTTTTTTCTACATTCATCCCTTTTGTGATTTCATCTAACATTGAACTACTACTCCCACTTCCTGTAGATTGTATGAAGAAAAAGAATTTTTTTAGGAAAGAAAAACTATTCATGTGCTGACAACTCACCTATCTCCTGTTTGGCCTTTCCCATTAACTTAAGACATCTCCACCTAGATGGCTAACGTGCATCTCAAACTTACAAACAAAACTGAATTCTACTTTCCACTCCTTATTCCCAAACTTTGTCCTCTGCAATTTTCCTTACTTCAAGCCTTAAACTTTGTTTTCTGTCATACTCTATAAATCAATTTATTTAAAATTTCCATTGGCTGCACCTTCAAAATATAATCTGAATTGAACCACTTCTCATTATCTCCAACACTACTGCTACTACTGGCCAAGCCATCATCATCTCTTGTTCAGATTATGTCAAAAGCCTTTTTAACGGGTTTCCCTGTTTCCACTCTTCCACTATCTTCCACACAGCAATGATTCTTTTAAGAACTTAAGTGGGATCATATGACTCTGCTCTAAACTCGGTTGTGTTTACTCATGTTTACTCATGTATCCCTGGCATCTAGAATAGTAATTGGCACACAGAAAATGCTCAATATACATTGGTTAAATGAATGAACTGTATCCTGCACAAAAGAATGGATTATTGAGTGTAAAAATTCAAAACATGTCTTAGTACTTGTACTCCCTCCAAATGTTTTCAGTCCCAGGGTTCCTCATTCATTATCGCCTTGCTCCTTTTCTGTAAGTTGTGATTATCCTGACATACAAATGACTGAAGTTTGCCTGGGTACCTAACAAACTTTACTGGATCTTCCCAGGCACACTAGAAACATTACCACTTTTTGAAATTCATCCTCTGAACCAGAAGTTACTTTCAAAATAGATTGCTTCCAAAACATCAGTTTGGGGTTCTTTTATCCTTTCTCTTTTGTAATGTTAGAAAATTAGAAAATGGTTCTTTTGGAAAATACTTACTCCAGAGGGTTTTGTAACAGTATGACAGAATTGGCAGGGGGAATATGTGGGAAACCTGAGGTAGGTCATGATTTAAGTCTTGTCAGTAAGATGGACATCAGATGCAAAAGTACTAAGTTAAAATATCTCATAATTACTGATGCCGTTACCAAAGCACAGTTACCCATTTTTTTTTCCTTTAAAAAGCAGACAAGATAACCCTATGATCCTGCCTATAGAATCTATAAATAACAAAAACAGAGGGAAGCCAGAATAGTTTTCTGTGATTTGGATGTGTGTGCGTACACACATCTGTTAATTCTAGAACCATGCTTAATCCACTTCCAATTTTATAAAAATATAGAACAGTTTCATGTGAACTTTTAATGTTACAAACTACTGGTTAGGTAAGAGATAAATTTCAATATAATTCCATACTTTATCACATTCTGAGTCACCTTTGGAAATCAGGAAACAGTTGCTGTCTTGGTTGCTGTATTTAGTTTATTATTAAATACTTCATCTAATTGCAAGCCTGTCTTTTCATCATTAAACTTAAGTAGTTGGACTAACTTCTAATGATCTTTTTCTCTAACTCTAAAGTCCTTATGATAAACAATTTCATAAATGAGGATTAAACTCTGATTTTCTTTTTATCTTGCCCAAATTCCTATCTAAGGGGTCTGGGGAGTCCTACCCTACAAACCACAAATTCTTATCAGATGGGTTTTATTTAACCCTGTATATTATGACTTACTTTACCATCTGACTGGCATAACGAGGAAGAAAATCAAAATGTTTTACCCCAAAACATGTTTCTCTGCCAAATCTTGAAATTGCCCTGCAAAGTTTCTTGTGGAAAAAATCCACATTCTATAGAGAATCCCCTTTCCCCTTTGTTTTCTTTCCTGCCTTTCCAGATCCAGGAGATAATCAACTAAGAGCCAGGCATTCTTTTAAGTCTGGTAAGACACATTTTATAACCTGCTCTCTCTGCAGTCTGCTATCTGAGAGTTTCGTCTGCACAATAAAACTTAATCCTTTATCTTAACCTAAACATTTCTATTGATTCCAGATAAACTCAACCAGTTGCCAACCAGAAAATGTTTAAATCTACCTATAGCCTGGAAGTTCCCCCTCCCCACCGTTTTGAGTTGCCCCGCCTTCCTGAACCAAACCAATGTATTTCTTAAATGTATTTGATTGATGTCTCATGCCTCCCAAAAATATATAAAACCAAGCTGTATCCCAACCACCCTGGGCACATGTTCCCAGGATCTCCTGAGGGCTGTGTCACAGGCCATGATCACTCATATTTGGCTCAGAATAAATCTCTTAAAATATTTTATAGAGTTTGACTATTTTCATCAACAAGAACATGAGTCACTCTCCATTGAACAATAATCTACCAGCTACCTACTATGAATGTAACGCTTTGTAATACACTCAAGGGAATATTGTTTTAAAGTCTCTGACCTTCTGGAGAATATAATCTAATTAGGAATATCATACATAACAGTAAATTTGATGTAGACATAAATGACTCTCCAAGTAACTGGTACAACAAAAGCTGTATGGGAAATTCAAAGAAAGTAGTGGGCTAAGGTTGTAAAAAGGCAGAATTTGGGGCCGGGCGCGGATTACAGCCTCACCCCCGTAATCCCAGCACTTTGGGAGGCCGAGGCGGGCGGATCACAAGTCAAGAGATCGAGACCATCCTGGCCAACATGGTGAAACCCCGTCTCTACTAAAAATACAAAAATTAGCCTGTAGTCCCAGATACTCGGGAGGCTGAAGCAGAAGAATCGCTTGAACTCGGGAGGTGGAGGTTGCAGTGAGCCGAGATCGCGCCACTGCACTCTGGCCTAGTGACACAGTGAGACTCTGTCTCAAAAAAACAAAAAAAGACAATTTTGGCAAGGTCTGGTAGAATAAATGGAGCAGAAATTAAGTCATTCCAGACTTAGGACAAGAACATGATTAACAATCTGAATTTGGAATCAAGCGTTGATGCGCTGCAGGAACTGTAAAAACAGAGGCCTAGATGGAGTGAAAAGAGAAAAAAAAATAGTTGTTAAGAACTTGAAAGTCAGACAGATCCTGAATCTGCCATTTAGTGGTAATGACATGACTGAAGGCAAGATACATAATCTATTTATACCTCAGTTTCTCTTATCTTTAAAATGGAGATAATAGTATTCATCGTCATTGGGTGGCTGTTAAAATAACTCAAAAACTATTATGGGAGGAAAGGTTGGGTAAGAAGAAAAATCTAGGCAAAAGCTGTAACATTTGCAAAGGCCAAGACAGGGTGGCCAGGTGTCTTGGGGAATTGCAAATGGTTTGGTTTGCAGAACAAATGAAGAATTGAGGTAATAGTGGAAGGCTGATTTCAGGGATGAATTAAACATCCTGAAGGGCTACTTACAGGTTCAAATAGCAAACTGTTAAAATCAGAGCTCTATTTCAAGATCATTCTAGTAATGAAAGGCTGGATTGGACATGAGTTATTAGGGTCAGAGAGTCTGTCAGAAAGCTCTCATAGTAATCCAAGGAGGAAGGAAAACCTAAACTAAATAATCAAGAGAGATGTAGATAAGGGGAGGGATGAAAGACCCAACTAAAAGGAAGAACATTCAAAACTCAACACAATACAGTGATTTATATTAGATTGGGCAGCTGGAGAAAAGGGCTAGGGTTTCTGGCTTACCTCAAGGTGGTTGGCTATACCATTCACAATAATGAGGAATGTAAATCTCTGGTGTGAGATTATTCCTGTTTTGACCTTATTAAACCCAGGCTTGTGTGGAATGATTGCTGCTTGGGCCTTATTAACTTAGGTTAATTCATTATTAACCTTCATGTCTCCAGTGATTAATAATGAAAAATCTAGAGCTCAAGACAGATGTCAAGGCACAAGAAAAGATAGAGAAGTCAGTCAGTGTAAAGACAACAGAAATAATAAGGTACTTAAGATTGTTCAGGGAGAATGTGTAACTTAAAGGCATAGAACACAATCTCAAAGAACTCCCAACATTTTATATGGTTAGTATAATTAAGGAATATACAAAGGAGACTAAGGAACAGACAAGGGGAAAAAAATCAGGAGAGTCATTCACAGAAGCCACATGCTAAAGGAGAGGAAAGGAAAATGCCTATCAAATGGAGCAAAAAGATATAATGGAGCAAAAAAAAAATAAGGGCGAGTTCACTTGATTTGACAGAAAAGAATGGGAATTGTTCATTGAATATCTATTTTTCTGTGCTTTGTGTTAAATGCTTTTTATCTGTCACTCATTGCTCAAAACAAAATCTGTCAAATGGGTATTGAAATCCCTATTTTACAGACAAGGAAAGGTAAATGGCTTAGAAGATTTAAGCAATTGCAAGGTACAGTTTGTAAGTATAGGAGCCGTATCAGCCTACTTCTGAAACCCATACTCTTTCTACTGAATCTTTCAGACACAGGTGACACTCAACAGAGTACAAACAGTATAATCTTGAGGTGAAAGCCTGACCCTGATTGAAGTTGAAGATGACCAGAAAATATAAAGGACATACTGTTTCACAAAGTTTGTTGTGAAAAGGCATGACAACATGCCCTGGGGTTACTTTACACCACTGATACTGCAATTTGACAAATATTTGTAAAGCTATTGTCTGCAATTCTGTGCTTGAAACAAAGTGGCATAATAAGCTTGAAAGGGATGTAAGGGGAGTTCAATCTTTTTCCACATTACCCTGTATAGAAAAGCTTGTGATACACAGACAAGCTCCTATTACTACCACTTAAATAACAAGTTTATCTTTTAAGATTTTTTTTAAAAACATTATAAAATCAACAAAAAGTGAAGGGTGTATTTGGTTCAAGGTGTTTCTGATTTAAGATAGATTGGCCCCCCGAGTTTATCTCTCCTCCATCCCACTATAGTAAAATGAAATAAATTTGAAAAATATGAGAAAAATTATTGATAAGACACATTATCTTGGATGAATCTCAGGGCCATTACACTAAAGAAAAGAAGGCTGTTTCAAAGGTTACATATGGCATTGCTCCTATTTAGAACTTTCTAGAAGAAAAAACTATGGGGATAGAAAACAAACTGGGGGTTATGAGTGGGGGGAAGGGTGAATGATTACAAAGGAATAGTATGCAGAGTTTTTTGGGGAGTGATGGTACTTTATCTCTGGTATTAAAACTCAAAAAACTATGCTACCAGAACAGAAGTAAAATTTACCATACGATAATCTGGAAAACAATTTTAAAAAGACATGAGCCCAAAATTTGAATAGAGAGGAGGCAGCAACAGACAAATGATTTCAACAAACTTCTGGAAAACTGAAAGCAGATGGAATATGACTGAGCTGAACAGAGAAAGCTGCAATCTAGAGGGACTACAAGGTGGATACCAGTGAGAAGCATGCTGACTGATTCCACAGTCCCTGAGCAGCTCAGATTTGGAAGTAAAAGTTACAGCAAAGAGTGGAGGCAGGGACAGGCCTGAAAATGTCTAGTTGAAAGCACATACAACAGAATGGCCTGATCCCCAAAGTTCTCTGCCCTACTCCTCTTAGCCATAAAAATATGATCTCTCACTTCCACCACTGTCTCTCACAGGTGGAAGACCAGAGAATTTTTATCTGGAGAAATAAATGGAAGACAACTAAGTGGAAGAAATATGGAGAGGGACAGATACAAGGAAGTATGTGTGAAGTGGAAATCAGGAGGTGAGATGGAGGACAAGGAAGAAGCAGAGTTAAAAGCAGTAAGAAATAGAACCTCCCTAGACCCCTTCAAGTATTGCCCACAAACACAAAGCTTTCAAATAGTGTTTTGGGTCTCCTCATATATTGCCAAGACTAGCCAGAAATAACAGGAAATTCACCTATATGAACAAGAAAAAAAAACAAATTACAAATTACAGATAGTAACAAAAAAACCTTGGTGTTAATTGAGCAGTAAACAAAAGTAGTAATACATATTCATACATCTATATCCTCAGAAAAATAAGATATTTTATTTATGAACTAAGTAGGATATTTTGGAAACACAATAGAAATGAAAGAAGTTCTAGAAATTAAAATATTTTTAGAAATGTGCTACAAATTCAATACAAGGAAGATAATGTTGCAAGATCAAATTAAGTACTTTTCCTAGAAAGAACAGAGATAATAGCATCGAAACAACTGGAGAAAAAGAGAAGAAAATTAAGCACCAATCTAGGAGAAGTCCAACATCTGACTAAGATATGTTCAGATTTCTCATTAGTAACAATGGAAGCTAGACAAGAGTGGAGCAATGCCTTCAAGATGCTGAGAGAGCTTATTTTTAATTTAAAGTTGTATGTGTAGTCAAACTATCAATGAAATGTGAGGATGGAAAAAGGGTGTTTTAGACATTTAAGACCTCAAAAAATTTAACTTTCATATACTATTTCTTAGGAAGCTGTAAGTGTTTTAGGAAGTGCTCTAGTAAACAAAGTAAACTAGGAAATGGGAAGTCCAACACAGGATGACAAAGGGAGGTCATGGGATCATCACTGTATAGTAGGCCAAGAGAGCAACCATACAGACTGGCATAGAAGGACAACTGCAGCAGAGACATCTCTGGTAAAAACAGGGACATTATCTGATATTTGGGTACAAAAACCCTTCAAACTAGTGATGGGAACATGGCAGACCTGACAGAGAAGTTGGATAATTTTTAAGGTAAATTTGTAGAAAGTTATGTAAATGTTTAAAATGAGGCAATTATTAATTACAGGAAAAATAAAATTATGCAAAAGAAAATCATGTTACATTTGCCCTAGAGTATACCATATTTATACAGTCATAATTAAATAACAGCTAATATGTTTACTAAATATGATGATGTAACTATATAACAGAAGGCAAAGTATGTGTGTTAGAGAGCTAAATCATCATGTAACATTACTAAGAAGACAATAATGTCTAAAATTGTTACATCAAGCAACATAATAGCCATACTATTTAGATACACTAAGATAAATAACAGAAGAAACAACTTTTGAAGTCAAAGTGATTGCCTCTGGGAGGGAAGGAAAGTTCAGGCAGGTACTACTATTTTTTATCATAAAGCCTTTAGAACTTACTATTTTATTTTTTAAAACTGTGTACACATGTTACTTTGACACAATTTATAGATATATAAAAGGAAATAAGGCCACCATTGTCTGATTTGTTTTTAGACAAGATATTTATTTTGAAGTTCCAAATGACATTAGCAGAATTGTGACTTTTATGTTTACCAAATGGTGCATGGGATAAAAAGGGGTTCTAAAACACTTTACTAGATCATCCGAACCCTACAACAGACACTCATGCATCGAAATTCTTGTAAAAGGAGCACTTCCTTACTCCTTCCACCCTCCCCTCAAAATACCCATGTTCACAAAGAACAAAACTTTACAGCTTAACCAACAAAAAAAGTGTCATACAATAATTCTAAGGCAATGTTTCTATGAAGACAGGAGAGGTAGCAGGCTGAACCACATTCACTGACCCTATCTCTCAGCTGCTCTTCCTCAGCAGTCAGGTTTTTCCTGTGTGCCCCACTTCATTATTTTCATCATCCTTACCTCTCTGTTTACTGGACATTCCCCTTGATCTAATACCAAACTTAGCCAGTCTAACTGTAACTCAGATGATAATCTGACCACTTCCTGGTAAGAACAGATGGTTAATGTTGTCACAGTGATTAATAAATACAAATATGCATTAATTTAACAATGAATTACATTTCATCCCATCCAGGCATGAAGAAGTTAAAACCTGGACTCACTGACCCTGTGTTAAAATTTAGTGCTAAACATAAGCAACAACACTGGGGCGTTGTTATTTTATCAAGACACCTGAACATAGCAAAATTAATTTTGTTCATTTTTATTAACAGGACATACTAACCGAATATTACTTAATAAAATCAAGGTTACAAAGAAACTCACTAGCCAATAAACAAATGATATTCATTTGACTCTTCTCTTGGTTGAATGATTTTCTATTAATTAGTAGTACACAGCTATTTTTATCAATTTATGCTTAAACTGCCTTATGATTTCAATGACATTTCTTAGCTTTTACTTATTGAATAATTTCTTCAACTGGGAATATTTTCATAATTCAAAATGGTTCCTGAAAATTAATGCATCCTTCAATGCCTTCTACTTAAGCTGGCTGCATTTAAAATGCAACATGATTCTTTGAAAGGTGACTATGACATTTGAGCATAAAGCCTATAAGAAAAAGAAATGTATTCCCTCCCCCCATGCTTCACAGAGACCATATGAATGTTCCATACTCTTCATATTTAGCAACAGGAGTTCCTTAGAGATCAAACAGCAGAAAATAGGAGGAACTTAGGCCATCAATGCACTTGTAAAACAGATAAAATTCCAAATGTATTTTAAGATTCTATCTTCTCCACAGATGAGAAAGTGCTGAAAGGGCTCTTCAACTTTTCTTTACTGACATCCTCTCTGTGCCCCAATTAGAAAAAGAGTTGCAGGATGGTAGTCCTCCTTAAACAGCACAGACTCAATCTGGAAAGACTGGCGAAACCCCTCTCCCCCAACAATGTATCCCAGAAAATAAACTGCCAAGTGCAAGAGGGACAATTTTCAGAATAAATAACATTCTGAAGGACTGACAAAACAAAGACTATTTTTAGACAAAGAACACACCAAATACTCCAAAATTTCAGGATAACCATACATCAAGTACTTCGTGCAAGTAATATTTTTACCAGTTAAAAGTCATTATGAAATACACATTCTTTTAACTGAATTTCATATGTTATATAAAACTTGAAAAGTGTGGCACATTTCTACTATTAACCATTACATTGCTTTTTGTTTTTTAAAAAAAGTATATATTAATCAAAAGTATACATTACCCAGGCCTTTTGATTTAAAATATAACTGAAGGAAAATATAAACTCTGAATAAACAGGCATTCTTCTACACAAACATGAGTTATTTCAGTAAAAAAAAACAACAACAACAATAATAAAGCAATTTCAATGTAATCAAGCCACCTCTGATTAATACATACATTTTCATGCATGTGGAAAAATTATTTTTAACTAGAACTTTAAGAATAAGTTCCATAGCAAACAAGTTACAGCATTTATTCAATAAGGAATATTAAAATAATTCCAGTTAGTAAAAAATAAAATAACTTCAACCATATACATATTATAATTTATCATGTACATACTCCAAAATCCCCATAATTTAATTAGGAAATTTACAGAACATCTTTTTAAAGTATGTCTTAGGAAAACCAACCAAAACAATTGGTGCATTAACTAAAGAGAATGTGCATACACATTGCCATTTGACCTATATGCAAAAGTGGAATGAAATACATAGGAAATTAAGGTTACTGCTTTCAAAAATTTCTGGAATATTAGTACTTAAGTCAAAACACTTACCTGCAAAATAAAAACAGCCTGAGGTATTTCCAAAGCTGAAGTAATTTTCTGAATGTTAAATATCACAAGAATGAAAACAGTCTCCATTAAGCATTTACATGTGGTTTACAGTTGAGGCAGAAGATGAAGCTCTGCCAAGCAGTTTTCCCATTATCACCTGAATTCTTTCTTCCCTTACAAAGCATAAGCTTCAAGGGAAATGATTACATATAAAAACATTCCAAGTGAGTTGGGGTTCCTGATTGCAACATTTAACCAAATGGAAAGAGGAATTTTTTAATTCTCCTAAGCAGGACCTACCCAACCACTGCAGACAGGAGCATTAATTCTTATGCTAGATAAGGTAAGCATGTCCTTTGAAATCAAAGCTAAGCTTGACAAATAACTGTACTGGATAAACTGGATACATGAACCACCTCAACAAAGATGGTATTTTAAGCATTTATACACATGAAAACGATGAAGTATATTATTTAGATATGGTCTTTCTTCATCTTTCTCTGAATCCTGAAAGGTTAGCAAGTCGTTATACTCATACATCTTGTAATCCCTTTCTCCACAAAATACATACACATATATAGCATCATATGTCAATATAATATCAACACAGCATAAAGATTTAAGCAGTAGACACAAGTCACATGAAAGAGGCTCTATGCATCATGTGGCCTGTCCCAATAAAAAGCAAACATTAGAATGCCATTTCAGCAATTACAGTGTTGATATGATCAATATAGCTAATTTTTTTATACCCGTCATATATTTTCAGAAGTCATCCATAGGGAAGAAGCAAACAACAAAGACTGCTTTTTTTTTTAGAAAAGTTATGTGCCAACTTCAAAATGACATACTAACCAGACATCAGCATTCGAAAGCTAGGTTGAATAGGACTGGCCTTGATGCACATGCAGATGATTTGCTTTCATAATATAAATTAAATGGTAATGTCAGCTGTATTACTACTGTTTCTATATTTATGATTAATTACTAGCAGTACAACTCCCAGAAGGAAGGAGATGGATCCAACAGCGATGTAAGCAATCCCCAAAAATGGATTTTTTCCTCCCATCCACGAAATAGTACTCAAGATCATCCGTTTTCGTCCATCAAAATAATGTACAGGGTAATCTGAAGAGGGTATAGGAAGATTTTTCCATCTCTGGTTACTTGATGTTTAAAATATAATTTTAAAAGTTGCCATTTAATTGTTGGTAATTCATTTGTGTAATTCTAGGATATACAGGTACCTTACTCCTATGTTCTAAATCACACACACACACAAAATATTATCTTGAAAGACTGATTTAGCAAATTAAATGTCAGTAGTAAAAGCCAAAATATTTTACCAAAACAAACAAAATGTAAAGGTTACGCAGTTTCTCAGGTGCTTTTGGTCTCATTACATGGAAGGGGCAAAAGGCCTCAAAGGAATGCAATGTGAAAAAAATAGTTCAAGTGAACAATGAAGTCCACACAAGGAGACTGACAGACCAGGAGAAAATGGAAAAAATCAGGGACTAGAAGTCTCTGTGAGCTCAAAGAACATGTAGCAAGAGTGTAGTTATGAGACTATGAAAAGGCTCTGAGCAAAAGGTCAAAAAGCATAACAAAGTTTTAACTTGCTGATTTAGAGCAATGGCAAAACTCACTCTGTGACACAGCTGATAGCTAACAGTGGAAGTGAAGGGTGGGCTGTTAAGGAGATTTAGGAAATAGGGCACCAGTATACTAGATGAATTATCTACATGGACCAGTTGTAGAATTTTGCAAGAGGTAAGGTAGCGAAGAAGCCAGAACCAAGTCTCCATGCAAAAAGTTTACAACTTTTTCAAAAGCATCTTTTGAATCTAGGGTTAGGCCCTATCTGTTTCTCTAGTTTCTTCAACTCTCCATCCCCACAGATGGGTCCCTATGGGTCCCTAACTCCCAATGGCAGGTTCGGTTCTGCTAACTTCTTAAATCAACCCTAAACTAAGGCAGGAATGATTTTGAGACCTCTAGCTAACCCAACATTCTGTGGGATACAGTATCAAATTGCCCATGCTAGTCTCTCTCTAGCATCCCAACCCTAAAGAAACAGGCTTCTGCCTTCATTCTAGAAGTCTTCAGTTCCCACCGTATGCCCAATTTTGAAAATTAACCCTTGATGTTTTGCAGGTCCAAATTCCGGTCTTATCAAGTCTTCTCAATCTGCCATATATCATGCATTCCTTTAGATAGTTCTTTCAAAGTTGGGACCCTGCTGCGGAATTCCTGTGTGGCAATTATCTATCAACTAAGAATTCCTCAGTGCTTCACAGACTTCCCTTCATTGTGCCCTAGGCTACAGGTTGCTAAATGTGCCCTTACTCTCTAGAGATTTTCTGGATGCTAATTTTAACAGAGCTGCTCTCTAGTTTGACTATCTCCTCAGGATAATGTTCTAGAAATCAGCACTTGAACTGGGTCTGTCTGTCCAAAACTGCTCCAATGTGGATTTAGTTTCAAAAACTTGGTCACTTTTAGCTTGCCATAGCAGGCCATATTTACTTGTGTATTCAGGTGCAATAGCAAGAGACTAGAATCCAAAAAAAAATATTTTTAAATTGGGTCTATTAATTTAACCATTTACTAACCCATTTTAAAACCAAAACCCACTTGGATTATGACTCATTTGGATTATGAAAATAAAAAATGCAAAGATCAGCAAACATTTAAGATTCTAGCATTGGGAGATCTCTTCACTCACAGTGTATGTAAAATATAGGCTCCAGATTAAAAGATGTAAAGACTTTGGTTAGAATAAAAGAAATTACTATTTCCCTCCTAATAAAGACTGCATCTATGCAGATATGGGTTGGTGTAACTGAGTGAACTAGCGGAGATGTAGCCTATGTTGGTAGCTGAGAGTAAAATTATGGCCTTTGGAGTCAACAGCCTGGTTATGAACCCCAACTCATTGTTATTACCTGTGTAAAGTCAGGTAAGTTACTTAAGTGCTCGATATTCCTGTGTTCTGGTCTATAATAGGGAGATATGCTGCTGCCTGAATTAAATAATGAGCAGAAAACACTCAGCACAGTGTTAACACATAGAGTGGAATAAATGTTATTTATCAGCACTGAATGTGAACTTATTAATGTGGAACAAAACAGCTAATAATAAAATGTTTTGAGTTTTGATACTACCAATAGATCAAAATTATGAACAATTACATTGATACAAATTAACACATCCATTGATTTTTAATATCTAAAAATATATATATTAAAACATCCCAGTACCACTCAACTCCCAATTTTAGGTATTCTCATTGGCCTTTACATTAGGCCCAATTACAATCTCCCTTTTAAAAATACCTAGCTTGTTAATAAATCAATCACCTACATTTTAAGTAATTTACCAAACAATATGCTTCAAACCCCAGTACCAAGTATATGCAAATTGAAAACATTACTAGAAGATATAAATTTTAAAATACATTCTCGCATATACCACACATACTTTTGTAAAAATGCAGATCCCAAAACTAAAGCCCAAGGTAACATGCCACATAACACATATAAGGTTGGAGTAGACTCCTTTCAAGCTCTATGAATCTGTATACCCAGCCAAAAAAGGATACTGTATGTGATATTCAAAGAGTATCGTCCAGCTGGTAATGTTGGGTGTAAATCACTTTTCCTTTCTATAAGACGATACAACTTGCGAAAAGTAGGTAATGCCGCAGTACGCATCCAAACAATAAAATCCTCATTTATGAATCCATTATTATCTGGGTCAGAATCCAGCATGTAAACTGGTTTAAGCCAGTTTACAGGCTTTGTTGTACCTTAAAAGCAGTGGGGAAGGGATGAGGAGACAAAATATTACATTGTGAAATTAAAGTGGCAGAGAAACAAATTTGGATAATAAATAGGGGTTTATTCAAAAGAAGCTTTGCTGCAATTCTAAAATATTATAGCTGAAATGCTTATAAGACACCACAGAAACTGAATTCATAATTAAAAGTATACATTTCCTTTAGAATTTTAGTACATTAGAACATTTACCTAACTTGGTATGAAGGTGAGGAAAGAAAAATTGTGTTTTTCAAAGCATAAACCTTAAGATTCTGAAGACAGAAAATTTTAAATACTTCATTAAAACTCCTAGTTTAATTTTTTAAGGGATATTAGTAATGTTTTACCTTTAAATCGTTCTTCCAGGTTGTCTCCTCCAGGGGGATTTCTGAATTTCACATTTTTATCTGTCCACCAAGCAATACCTTTCTTTTTCAAAGCGATAGGTACAGGATAAGAATCATTGCCAATAAGAAACAATTCTAATGTATCTAAACACAAGAAAAGGAAGACATTACTAAATATCTCTTGAAAACTCATAGCATCTGCTTAATTCTGTGAGAAATAAGGACCTGATATTTGCTTCCAAAAGTGGTTGTGACAGAGTAGGCATATGATTCACATTTGTTCTTTATTCCTATGTGGATTAACTATGGTAACTTTATAACGCTAGATGGACTTCTCTTCCCTTAACAGAGTTCTAATTCACTTACCCATAGGCTAGCTGACATGCACTAAGATCAAATGTTTTAACATTAACCCAACTATAATTGCAAGGTAAATCTACCTTTCCTTCCTTCCTTCCAATAATGCATCCCTAATTGCTTCTTGCTTATCCATTTATCCGTCTGTGCTGTCTAATACAACAGCCACTAGGCACACAGGGCTACTGAGTCTTTTGAAATGTGGTTGGTCCAAATGAGTATGTTCTGTAAGTGTACAATACACATCAGATATCAAAGACTTAGTATAAAAAATTAGAATATGAAGTATCTCAACTTTTATATAGCATTACATGCTGAAGTAATAGTATCTTGGATATATTGTGTTACATAAAATGTATTACTAAAATTAATTTCACTTGTTTCTTTTCACAGTTTCAAATAGGACTATTAGAAAATTTAAAATTACCAGGCCAGGCGCAGTGGATCACGCCTGTAATCCCAGCATATTGGAAGGCCAAGGTGGGTGGATCACAAGGTCAGGAGTACAAGACCAGTCTGACCAATATGGTGAAACCCCATCTCTACTAAAAATACAAAAAATATAGCCAGATGTGGTAGCACGCGCCTGTAATCCCAGCTACTGGGGAGGTTGAGGCAAGAGAAATGCTTGAACCCAGGAAGCAGAGGTTGCAGTGAGCAAAATCACGCCACTGCACTCTAGCCTGGGCGACAGAACGAGACTCTGTCTCAAAAAAAGAAAAAGAAAAAAAAAAAGAAAGAAAGAAAATGTAAAATTACCTACAAGACTTGTATTTACAGCTCACATTATCTTTCTATCAGATAGTGCTGCTCTAAATGATCAATTATAGCTCCTTTTCAACGACAAAAATAAAGTGAGTGGGAAGGTCAGCCTGACTTTTATTTTAAGTTATATGAAATACGAAGATTAGCAGAATGTTTCTGCTTCTTTCTTCTCAGAGACAGAAATCCATTCTAAAATGTATGCTCAAAAGAAAATCACAAAGCATTATAATACCCCATTCAATACTCGATTTAGTCTTAAATGTTGGAGTTTCTCAATTTCATTCATGTTTACTAATCAAATCTGTAATGAAATTATGCAAATTGTCCTAATTATATATGTCTGTATTTGTATCTATATCATACCATTAAACATGCTGTTGGCAATAGCTCCACAAGGAGCAATTGGTTTGTCTTCATTTCTTCGATAAGGCTCACATTCCTTACTGGGGTTCTGGTTTTTAGAAGGAAAAGAAAAGAGAAATTATTATCCAGGCCTTTGGGAGAACTATGAGCTATCCCTAAATTATGAGCTATCCCTAAATTACTGATTAAGAATTCAACACCTATATTTTCCTCACTTGTAATACATAGGTCTGTAATGTAAGTAGGCTATAAATAACACCACATTTAAATATTCAAAATGTATTCTGAACATTACTGTCTTACTTTTGTAACATAACCTTTACTTGCATATGTTTTGTCATATATGCACATATCAAATAAACATCCTTTTGATTTTCTGATCACAGAAACATTACCGCAAAGGGTTTTCTGCCCAAGAAAAATTAAGAAATGATCTATTGCCAATCCAGTTGTGATACAAGAAAATCTTAAACTGGAACTAAAGACGCTAGAGGTTCTAGTTCCTTGGGCAATTCCTTTAATTTAACTGGGCTTCACAAAATAAACACGTCCAACTATACAATCTCAAATTTTGTGATTTGGGGTTAAATCCTATATCTAAGAAAGGAAGGAAGGAGTTTAGTGCAGATTCCTAGAATATATCAATCTTTAAACTGTGCATCCAGGTACAAGAAAAACAAAAATGCTGACAAGGCAGAACATTTGCCTGTGGTCCAGATTTGGTTTTGACTTAGTCTCTACTGAGGATCTTAAAGAGGTGTGGCAGTTATGGGATTCAACTAGAAATTGTATCAAGTCTGAGGTTAGGTGTATGTCTGAGCTGGGACCCTCCCGCCACATTAAGCTATGTCTCAAAACACATAAACATACCAAGATAATTTCAATTAGAAATTAAGAAGACCCTAATTAGACCTCTTAGGATTATTTCATTACCAGCTAACCTTGACTTGTATCTATATTCTCCATGTCTAGACTGGAAAAAAGCACTTGTGTGAATGGAAAAGATAAGAGAAGGCTAAGGAAGCCTGTGGCAGGTATCTCATAAAGTCTCTTCAATATTTGACTTCTCAGCTATTTGGTCCCTACACCATCTGTATTGATAAAGCTATTAACATTAGGGCAAATATATCTGCTAGCCACTAAATTCTTAAGGAAGTTTTAAAAGAAAGGAAAATATTATTTACTACCTATGTGTCGGGTACTAAACTAAGCAATGCTAGGTACTTTGCATTAACTGGCTTACAAAAGCTATTTGACGAGGGTCGGGCACGGTGGCTCACACCTCTAATTTCAGCACTTTGGGAAGCCAAGGCGGGAGGATCCCTTGAGTCCAGGTGTTCAAGATAAGCCTGGGCAACATGGGGAAACCCCATCTCTACAAAAATACAAAAAATTAGCCAGGCATGGCGGCGTGCGCCTTTAGTCCCAACTACTTGAGAGGCTGAGGTGGGTGGTTTGCTTGAGTCCGGGAAGCAAAGGTTGCAGTGGGTGGAGGTCATGCCACTGCACTCCAGTCTGGGTGACAAAGTCAACCCTGTCTCAAAAAAAAAACAAAAACAAGCCGGGCACAGTGGCTCACGCCTGTAATCTCAGCACTTTGGGAGGCCGAGGTTGGTGGATCACGAGGTCAGGAGTTCAAGACCAGCCTGGACAATATGGTGAAACCACATCTCTACTAAAAATACAAAAATTAGCCGGGCGTGGTGGCGCACGCATGTAATCCCAGCTACTCAGGAGGCTGAGGCAGAGAATTGCTTGAACCCAGGAGGCAGGGGTTGCAGTGAGCTGAGATCACACCACTGCATTCCAGCCCGGGTGACAGAGTGGTGAGACTCCATCTCAAAAAAAAAAAAAAAAAAAAAAAAGCTATCTGATGAGTACCTAATATGTAGCATGTACCATACTAGGTGCTAAAAACAGAAAAATGAAAAGAATACGATCCCTATTTTTAAGCAACTCAAAATGTAACAGAGGAAGCAGACCCTTACAAACCAACTGTCATAGGAAATAAGAGCCAGGATGAAGAGACCACCACATGCCACTAAAGAACTTATTTCTGTGAAGGTAATGGTGAATGTAGCTGGAGCATGCCAAGAGGGAGGATGATATGTGATGAGATAAGAGGATTACGCATAGCTCAGATCATCCTGAGATTTTACTACAAGTGCTAATATGACCACTAAAAGATTTTAGGTAGTGAAGTGATATTTATACTTTTTAAAAACATCTCTATAGCTGCTATGAAAATGGCCTGGAAAGGAGCAGGCTTGGATGATGTGAGACACAATTTGTTTATCAAAGCAAAAAGTGGTAGTGACTTGGAACAAAAAAATAAATAAAACATGTAAAGAAGCACATTTTTGCATGGAAGGACACTTAGAAAAACAGCAGGCCTTGAGATGAGAAGACCTCCAGGGAAGAGTAAAAATGGCATTCTAAATAAATGAAATGCTAAATGGCAAGACGAGCAGATGACTTGTTTCACAATGCATGGTTAGGGAGCAGCAAACAAGGCCCAGGGCAGCCAGGCCTTGTTTAATGTATTAAAGATAGTATATAAGATAATGAGGCTGATGCCAGATTGTAAAGGGCCTTACACATAATATCTGGCCCTTTACAGAAAAAATTGATCAATTCCTGGTCTGGCCTGAAATCTTTGCTTGCAGTTTATAAGAATCAGTTTCAGTTTTCTTTATGCTCAGTGAACAGAGCACATATGTAAATTAAATAATTGTAAACCAGCCACCATTTCTGGGGTTTTGGAACACACACAATCTATATTCCCAAAAAAACACATTCAAGGCCGGGCGCGGTGGCTCAAGCCTGTAATCCCAGCACTTTGGGAGGCCCAGACGGGCGGATCACGAGGTCAGGAGATCGAGACCATCCTGGCTAACACGGTGAAACCCCGTCTCTACTAAAAAATACAAAAAATTAGCCGGGCGTGGTGGCGGGCGCCTGTAGTCCCAGCTACTCGGCAGGCTTAGGCAGGAGAATGGCGTAAACCCGGGAGGCGGAGCTTGCAGTGAGCTGAGATCCGGCCAGTGCACTCCAGCCTGGGCGACAGAGCGAGACTCCGTCTCAAAAAAAAAAAAAAAAAAACACATTCAGAAAGGTCTAGAAACTTGGTGTATCTCACAGTACATCATCTTCTCTGGATTTGAGTGCTAAAGATTGGATCCTATGGAATAAACCCCACATAGATTCAGACTATCATAGGCCTAACCAGAACCCTGTGTATACCAAGGAATCTTTAAGTAGACTTGTATTGCTTAAAATCCCACACATCAGGAACTGATGATCAGCAATAAAACCAATCAGGGCAACCTTGAGCAGTTACAGTTTATGTTTAGGAGGCCCCTGCTGCTCACAACATAGTCCTAAATTGTATTCTAAGAGATTCGTCAATTCTAAGAAATCCTAAATTGCTCAGGGCCTCTGAATGTTTGTTGCATTGGCAACACTAACATAAAATACTTAGGGCCGGGCGATGGCTCACCCATGTAATCCCAGCACTTTGGAAGGCCGAGGTGGGCGGATCACCTGAGGTCCAGAGTTTGAGACCAGCCTGGTCAGCATGGTGAAACCCCGTCCCTACTAAAAATACAAAAATTAGCCGGGCTTGGTGGTGCACACCTGTAATCCCAGATACTCGGGAGGCTGAGGCAGGAGAATCACTTGAACTCAGGAGGTGGAGGTTGCAGTGAGCCGAGGTCAGGCCACTGCACTCCAGTCTGGGTGACAGAGTGAGACTCTGTTTCAAAAAAAAAAAAAAAGAAAAAATACTTAGGCACTAGCCACTACTATGGAAAACTAAAAAACTGAACCACAGTAAACAAACTAAGATCCCCTAGTCCACACAGATTTCCAAACCAGTCTGGGCGTCAATGCATTTGTGCAAATTTCAGGAAAAAATATTTTAACTAAAAATCTTTATGATACAGGCCAGGCACAGTGGCTCATGCCTGTAATCCCAGCACTGTGGGAGGCTGAGGTGGGCGGATCATGAGGTCAGGAGTTCAAGACCAGCCTGGCCAACATGTTAAAACCCTCTCTCTACTAAAAATACAAAAATTAGCTGGGCGTGGTGATATGCGCCTGTAATTCCAGCTACTCGGGAGGCTAAGGCAGAATTGCTTGAACCTGGGAGGTAGAGGTTGCAGTTAGCCGATACTGTGCCACTGTACTCCAGCCTGGGCGACAAAGTGAAACTCCATCTCAGGGGGAAAAAAAAATCCTCACTATACAAACTATAAATGACAACACTTTAATTTCATCCTAACAATTCTAACTGAACAGTTACCACATATTCTTATTTTACAGATATCATATTTTCATATTTATCATTTTACTTACAAGCAAAGCACTAGAATCTCCATTTAGTTGACTATCATCTCGAGATTTCACGTAACGACGATGGTTTTGATAGAAATTAGACAGTCCATAATACATAAACACATTGCCCTAGAGAAACAGAGAGGGAAAAATTTTCGTACAAAAACTATTCTGTATAAACTTATTTCATGTGTACATAAAAGCTACGTAATTTGGACTTTACTAGGTTACAATTTGTAATAGGTAGTGGGGTAAATTCCACCAGTACTTAGCAATCTAAAATGGCACAACTGTAAATAAGGTTAAAGAAAGTACGTTACAAAATTCCACAAGTAAACTTTAAAACTATCCTTAAAGACATCAAAGAAGTACTATTTACATTAAAAAAGAATCTTCAAGGAATCTATTAGCCTACTCTGAGCTACTTTCAATTTAAAATTTTCTCTAATTCAAACTGGTCTTCACCCAGTTAGCATCAACGTTTCACAGGGATAATGGTCAAGCTTGTTTCTTTTTTTTAATCCCAGAGACTACAGACTTGCTATGTTGCCCAGGCTGGCCCTTAATTCCTGGGCCCAAGCTATTCTCCCACCTCTGTCCCTAGATGCTGGGAGGTATGCACTACAGGTTTGTAGCACCAGGTCCAGCTGAAACATTCATTTTTTTCTTGTCCAAGTGAATTCTGAACTTCAATTGGGATGTAATAAATTCCTCAAGAGGATACTATATGAGTTAATAAACTACTAATTAGTA